TCTGGGATGCACTGCACATGCCATCTGCCTTATGTTGCACGACATCGGCAGTTTTTCTTCTGTGCACAAACCACTAAAGGTGGCCTCCCTTCCTTCTTATGAAAATTAAAGCGCCAAGTACGACCTGCACATACCCTCCTGCGCTTTTACCCCCGAAACTTGCCACAGGAGATCTCAGTTCCGACCTGGGACTCCACCCCCACTTCCCTAAAATCCTTGGCACACCCCCTTTTTTCGCACTTCCAGGCCCCCATCCCACTCTGATCAGGAAGTCGCGCTGGGTGTGAGTTTTGGGCGTCACACCATCCCCTTTCTGCACCACATCCCTACAGACTCTATGGGCACCGAACTGTACTTCTGCTAAGGTGCGATATCCCACCCTCCCCCTATCCTGGACATGATGCCTTCCTATTCTACGGCTCCCTTCGACTCCACAATCTTACCTAATTCCCTCAAGGAGTATCCAGTCGGGCCCCCTACCTGGATTAAGCGCCACCCACAAACATGGTGAGATGTCAGTGGGATGAGAAGTACCTGGTACCCATCCCATACCACCCCTCTATTTGTGTGTAGAATTAACCTCCGAAATGGACCCTACCGTACTCAGGTTTGTTCTGTGTGGACTCTTGCATGGGTGTTATCGTGACAGGAACCCCCCCAATGGTACCCACTGTACCATGACACTCACACAGACTAGTACATACTGATGAGACTGACAGATCAGAGGGGTCCAAGTGGCTACGCTGCGGTTCCAACTGTTGCATCAATTTCCAAATTTTGCAGACAACTGGTTCCAATTTTTTCTTATTTACAGACAATTCCAACTGGTTCTATTTTTTTATTACCCACAGTCCAAGAAGTTCCATACATGCACACCCCCTAATCCCCTATCCCCTATCACTCTATCCCCTATGGCCCACGGTGGGGCCAAGACAAGACCTGATACTCAGACCTCCCCCTAGACTAAGTATAGCAGCCCTCCCTAGGGCCCTATCCAGCAGGCAGCGTCAGTATAAACTTACCATGCGTTGTCCCAAGCGGGGTTTGCGAATGGTCGGGCCATTCGCAGTTTTTTTGTTTTTTTTTTGAACGCCCAGGTTGTAGTGGAGACGGGGTATCAGGTGCTGGAGTACTCTCCGGGGTTCAGTCACTCGAGGTTCGGAATGGCTCACTTGGCTTTCTGGCGCATTTTTTCCTAGACGGAGTCCTATGGAGGCTTGAAGCCCTAGGTCCTATCGCAAGTCATGTCCCTGCCTACACCTACCAGCCTGCCACCAGAGATTGAATTCTGTCCCTACAGATCCAACCTCCAACTGGGTGCTATTTGGGCACATTCTATTGACTGAGCAGATCCCTAGGCGATCCCCCTTCAGACAGGCGTAGAGTCTGGCTCCCTCCTATTAATGTACACTGTACTACAGTATCCTAGCCCCCCATCCCCCACTTCCTACTCAGGTGACAGGCTCAATACAAGTCCTTACCCGAGCTGTACTTTATCGGCATCCTCTCAGCTACTCCCGCCAACCCCTATAACCCCTCTCATAGTCCACCCGTGCTTGGTCCCTGGTGGGCCCGAGGACCCTGATGACGTAGCTATGAGAATACCCAATGTCTATACACTACCTAGGGACGACCAGCCAGCCAGGCAGTCCTAATCGATGAGTCAAGCATTGACTCGCACCTTGCTGGTCATCAAGAAGACTCTAACTACTTGGACTATCCCAGGTATTTCTACCTGTGGCGATTTCCCCCCCACCCATGCGGTCTCCGTAGGTGGCCCATACAACCGTTATATGTGGGTCAATTACTCCCCTCGGGCGGTGAATTACTTGTTAAGTAACCCGAACTGTTCAACCCTACCTACCACAATGTTCCTGTACCCCTCCCAACACACACACCCTAGAGATGAGACAACCTTTATACCCCCGTGGTTCGAGACACACACAAGGGGGGACCCACCTGGACATACTACTCACAGTTGACTCCACTATGAAACCCCCCTTCTAACGGGAAAACCTGAATGGTACCAAGACGTATAGACGGAGACCCCCAAGGGAGAGGCAGGGAGTAGCAGACCAGGGTTCTCTGGGCCCGCAATTATTCTATACTCCGATACATACTATATTCCCGCAAGGTCCAAGTAGGGTACGAATGGGGGTTCTGGATTCGTACATGCGACCAACTCTTCCACAGACAAGATAGCTCTACATATCATCCCAAGCGATCGGCTAATCCTGAATACACAACACGGATTCGTACACGTACCGTCTTTTTTTTTTTTTTGTAAACACAACACACACACAGCCCCGTACCGTCTTTCACAGTGCAGAGTGTTCACACTTAGACGTGCATGTCTTCGTCTTTGAGACAAGCATATGACTACTGGCAGGATCAACCAGGTAGCGGGTGTAACGAGCAGCCACAAGGAGCGATGGCCGAACCGCACGTAGGCACATCACCCGACCAGCGTGCCAAAAGAACGTCGAATAATCATGGGACGTGAGATGAGCTACCGAGACGACGCAAAGTCTGGCTCCTTGATTGCAGGTGAACTCCCCCTCCGTAGGCCAGTTCCAACGGCAAGGTGCGAGCATACCACACAATCAACACAGCCCGCCACATCCGCTCACTAGATTGGTTGTGAACAGCACCCGCCCTATCCACACCCTGAGATCACGAGATAACCACACTCTCCGAACAACGGCGCGCAGGGAGGAACGACCAACCGCTTTGGCCCACAGCCGGATGCAACCGTCCGCCCAAAACATATCAAAAGCGAACTGCACCACCTCATCTCTGCATCCAGAAACGCGAGTCAAGAGAGAAACGAATGCACCACTCATCCTACATGCTCAGACGAACTGAAAGCCTCCACCTGTGCACTCGAGCGCAAAAGGAACACTGTGGCATACTGCGTAGCCACACGGGCCTGCAGGGCCCGTCCCGCATTCTCAGCCTAAAAGCGTAGAAATAAGGGCTTACAGGCCCCATGTCGTTTCAGCCTGAAAACTGAAAACGAGGGCCTGCAGGCCCTATTTCGTTTTCAGCCTAAAACAGGGCTTTTCAGCCCTGAGGCTTTTCAGCCTGAAACGGAGGGCCACTTTACCCTAACACTCAGGCACAAAACCAGGGTTTCGGGAACAGGCTATTTCTGGCCTGTTCCCACGACAGCCTCAAGCAGGAGCTGCAGCGGCAGCCCCTGACTCCCTTCGGCATTGGCAAGAGCAGCCTCCTGGACTGCCTCGCCCTGCAGTCAGGAGGCAGGCCGAGAAGTACATAGGGAGTTCCCACGCACTTCACAGGGAGGTAGTTGGACAGAAGGCAGGAGTAGTCTTCAGGATTCAGCCGCAATACTCAGGAGGGGCGCTGCAGGAGTAGCTTAGCGCTAGCAGTAGTCTTCAGCACTGGGCGCTAGTAGCCATAGCAGTAGTCTTCAGCGCTGGGCGCTAGTAGGTGGTAGTAGTAGTGTTGGGGAGAGATGGCTGGCGGAGGCCAGTGAGACTTACCT